GTATGTGTGTCAATTTTTCTGTCAGTCTGTTCTGTACTTCTTATTGTCACCTCTAATAAAACTCATTACTTGTGTGCTTGTGACAAAAAAGCCAGTAAAACACCAACTGATTTGTGGTGAAAGAGAGCTGAATTAAGAAGAAAACTTTTATCTGTAAAGGACACATGTAACATCGAAAATATCTCACTGGAGGTTAATTCAGTAACAGAGCAGTATTCAGCCTCCACATACCCTTTCTCTAGTCAAGTGTGCACAAGGGTAAATACACGTTAATCTATCACGTGCAAGTGCCAACCTTGGCAATACTTCAAATGTCATTTCGTCTTCCTTAGCCCTTGCGGAATAAAACCGGAACACCACGAAAACAAACTAGACTGCCACACTAATGCCAAGTGAACTTAAACTCACAGGAGTTCAAGCATTACTCAAGCATGATAAGTACTGCTATTTTCACAGGTTTTAAGGCAACTGCTGGAGAAATACAAGCACAGCAGGGACGAAAAACACTTAAGATAAAACCCTGGACCTATTCCTAAACACATACTGCCTAGTACAGTGTGCTTATATTTTGACAGTACCATTTTGTTAGTTTTATTTGCAAAACTGAATCTGACATTCTTAAAGAAGGGTCATGTACTCCAGGATCAGTAAATTTTTAAGCCTATAAAGAAGCGTTTCAGACACCCTGACCTCTGTAGTGAAGACTCTGCCCAGCTTACAGATAAAAAATCCTCTATATTTAGTATGTGTAGTTAACCCAAGCTACCTGTTTTGTTTTTCTTCTACCATGGCTGCACGTGGCTGTCTCCAAAGAATTGACAGGCTGTGAGCATTTTCCAGAAATTGCTAGTTCTGTATCCCTGCTTGCTTTTCTCTTTTGAATGTTAACTACTAAGAAACAGCAGCAGATAGACCAGTCACAAACATTGTAACAGGAGTAAAGCCTGAGACAGCTTGGTTAGGAACTGGTTTGGTTTCTAGCCACAGGCATCTCTATCATCCCAACTCCTCCTGCAGTACATGGTGTGGTGTCAGGCATTTCCCACATCATTCACAAGTATATGTCAAGTTTTAAAAATTGTCATTTTGCTCTTTCCTCTGGTGTCAATGGAAAAGGTGAAGAACACTACAGAATTCAGTCCTCCATGCCTGTTGAACTCTATTGATGCCAAAAGTCTCAGTTTATTAAGAAAAAGGCATGCCCAAATATGTATCAATTTTGATAGAATAACCTGACATAATGACTTGGCTGTGCTCTAGTGTAACATCACAGTGCACATTTAAGGAACTGAATAAATTTTGCCCTAAGTCTCAATTTTTTTAAGGTTACATTTTAATGCAGTAAGTTAACATCTTCCCCCCCCCCCCAGTGATTTGCATGACCTTTCACTTTAGGAGGCTATGCAGTCCTGAAAGGAATGATATTTCTGTTAATGAGAATAGCAGGACACTCAGTGAACATTCATTTCTGAAACTATACAAGTGCTCAATCATGGACTATATGTACTTCATATTCTAAGGAACCTGACAGGTTTAAAACGTCCCACTGTGAATGGTACATTTTTGTCTCTAGCACTGAAATCCCTTTTGCACTTGGAAATGCAAAGAAACTTGAAAATTCAATATTCATTCTTCTTTGGAAAGCAAGCTAACAAACCTATTCGAAGGAACTCAAAATTAGCCTTTGAGCTGGTATTTCAGTCTTGTAATTTTAATTCGTGAAATGAAAAGTACATTATCTATTTAGGAACTGGAAAATATCTACAGAAGAATAAAACAAAACTTGTAATTTTCCTTAGCTGTTACTACTACAGATGTCAACCTAAAATTTCTGAAGTTGGATTTTAAGAGGAGCTATTCAAGATTAACATTTCTCATAAAAACAGTGAAAGAGAACAATAAAACACCTCAAATCAAAACAAAAACCACTCAACCATAAAAACTCCTCTCCCACAAAACTCAACCTTCTCCCAGCCCACATACAGAGGAAAGGGAAGTCCCTTCTTTATAGGGTCCATCAGACAGCATGTGAAGCTCCCACTGAGGATACGATACTGACATTTTACTCAGTGAGATAGAGAAACATGAACCTGACTCCCACAAGTATCTTTACCATCATGCCTCTGATGTAAGCATTCATCTTCCTTCCCTTTCCATTTCTTTCAACTCCTCCCCAATTAATCCGTCCTGGAGCTGAGAAGTTTTTCTTGAAATCAGTGTTTTCCAGGAAAGAGTTTCACTTTTGAAAAAATTGTTTGTTATTTTAGATAAATACTATCCCCTTCATCATCACCCCTAAATTCCTCATCTGATCTAGTCCTACTTCTTACTACAGTAAAAGAACAGATTTCCCACAGTTCTTCCCTCCCACACAACTATATTGTTAGGTAGGAACCATGTGGGATTTACTGGTCCCTGAAATACCATGTAGTTGCATTACCCTTCATTAAAAGCAAGACTTAATAACACTAATTTGTACAACAAAAAGTCTCATTTCCCTAATATCTCTGGCTCTTGATCTGGTTTACTTCCATTTCAGCCAATTCATTTTTTCCCCCACAAGACTTAAATAGTAGTGAAATCTCTCTTTCATCCTACTTTTTACAGTACTGTGTTATTGAATAGGAAAGGCTCAACAAGATATAAAGCAAATGGTTGTCAGGCAGCTGCTGTAAGAACATTATGCAGCTAGAAGTTGAGGTATCAACCCACTACTAAAAAAAAAAAAAAAAGGCATTTTATAAGACATTATTCAGTATTTGGGTAAAACTTTCTGCAAAGCAACAGGTTCATTTTTCACATATTAAAGTCACTATATGAACAATAACTATGTTAAATTAGAATAATTTCTGAAAGCCATTAGGTAACTGGCAAAGTTCAGCAGCTACAGACTACTAACTGTCTGTCAGCATTATTTTCTTGAGACTTGTTAAGACCCCCTGTTCTGCAAACACACTGGCTCTATAACGCTGAACATCAGTTACTGACATAAGAAATAAAGAAGCCCTTACCATGCTCCAGCACTTTCAGTGGAAACCAGAAAAGAATGATGGAATGGATAAGGGCATTGATGCAGTGACCCCAGAAAACCTGAGGGAAAACAAACCAAGCCATCAGTAAAGTCCAAAACTCTTGACCTCTCTCTAACTCCTAACAAACACTTCATTGTGTAGTTTAGCATCGGACAATGTTTGTCCTGAAGTGAAATACCTAAACTTCTGCAGGATCTATTTCCTCCTATAATTTCTGGTTTTTCACAAGAAAAACACTGGTCCAGTTTTATCATTTTATTCTACCAACTTAAAAGATAATAGGCAAGCACACTTGCAATTTAACATCTTTATCAAAATACAGCAGATGGACAGAGTCAACCTTCTTTAATTACCTCAAAGAGTGATTTTAAAAGATCGATTCAGTTTTCTTTTAATGCACAAATACTTTGTGCCCCATAGTTTTTAACTTCAAGATAACAGCAGCTCTGTACAAACTAGAACTTTACGTACTCTACAATTTTGCCTTCAGATAAATCAAACGCACAGTTTCCTTGATTCAGAAGTAAATTTAGATGTGTTTGTTTCGGAATAAAGATGGAATACCAAATGTTGGCATTTTCCAGCATTTAAATAGCAAAATGAAGTAAAAAGCGTTCTTCAAAAGTCAGAAGACCAAATAAACCAATTCAAATTTTATTTTCCAAAAGAACTACTGGAATGGAGGTATAGTAAAGCTGTGAAAAAGCACCCTAGCAGAGAGCATTATGAAAACACGTATATTAAATAAAATCCAGGTAATGTCATCCAGTTCCTTTGGAAGTGGTAAACCCATGACTTATCAGCAGTTGTGAATTGAAAAATCATACTTTGATAGAAATCTTACTTTGAATCAAAGTTTATGGATATTTCAGGACCAGTTTCAGTTGAAGCCACAGTAAAAATCCCTTATTTATAATACAATATTATTTTAAAATTTAATTTAAAAATTCTTGAAAATTAAAATGTTCTTGAAAAGAACTAGGAGACAGAACAATCTTAATCTTAGTGGCTAGCATAAACCAGAAGTAACAGTGGAAAACAAGTTATTTTCTAACAAGAAAAATCTAGAAAATAAGAATGCCCATAGTTGTTCTTAAAGAAACAGGCTTTCCCTTACCCTTGTGTTGAAACCATCTGCATTTTGAGTAATTTTGTATAGCTGTGGAAATCTAAGCATGCTATCTTGAGTACATGATCTTTCAAAAATTCCCAGAGTAAAGGGTGGCAGTGCTGTGAAAATCTGCAAGGAAAGCAAATACTAATTAAAAGCAGTTATTAGTTTTAAGTGGATCTCAGATAATATTTCATTATCTAGAAAACAGCAAAGTTCCCAGACTTCAGTGAAGACTCACTACTACCTAACATGTTATTTGACAATTTTAAGCAGTCCAAACAAGTCCAAACATGAATTTCAGAAATTCATAACTCTCAAACATTGACTTATGAACAAAAGAAACATGAAATAAAATTAGTATATTTAACCAATAAGCTCAAACCCAAGAAGTCAAGCATCATTATTTTCTGATGTAGCAGCTAATCTAGCAAGGGTCAAACACATCAGACTGCAAAGGAAAGACAAGTATTTTTACAAAATAGCCATGAGAATGGGTTCCAATACAGCTGCAGTTGTTGCCATAATTAAATATGTAATATATTTAATCAGAGTTAAGTTTACAGACAAAGCAAATGCGGAAATCACATTTTAAAAAAAAATCTACTGAAAAACAAAGGCCATTCTGCATTATGGTATTCTGGAGATTCCCCTGGCAGGCATGAAACGATAGGAACAAATTAACTGCAGTATATGTCTGGCTGTGCTATGGGCAGACTCCTAGATGACCAAGCCTCGGAAGCTTTCCAAGAGAGGCAGCAGGACGCTTTGCCAGAAGCAGAGTAAATTAGCCTCCACTGACTTTGACATTGCTGCTCTTAAAGTGTTTCCAGGATCTGAGGCAGCTCATTTAAAGCCAACTTGGGTATCCGTGTTTCTTGCAGTCTGCAGTGCAGGCACAGACTGAAAATAACACCACCATAGAAGTCTGAATACTAAACTCCATTCAATTCCTTGTACATTAACAGTTTATGTCAGAAACATCAGTACTAATCTTATACATACATATATTTTTAACAGTTTGAGAAATATTCTTGAGGTTAAGAAACAGCTTGGAGTTATGAACTGTTTCAAGTGTGCATGCATATCTGCAGAAGTTGGGTCGTGGTTCCCACCAGGAGCGAGCTGGCAGTCAGGGACAAAGAACAACACAGAGGAAGAGAGACGAGTGAGAATCGGTAATTACAACCCTAGATCCAGAGGGAATTGTGTGTCTTTTGCTCATAAAGTGATAAACCAGATGGTGAAAATGGCAGCAGGCTGGGGGTAGGGAACTGAAACAAAGACCACTGGTCCAATATATTCCAAAGAAGGCCATGTTCTCATACAGTTTTAATGTATTTCGCCAGGTTTCCTATGCTTATTGGGGCATTTACGTTCTCACTTGAAGTAAATCTTCTAATGGTTCTGTTTATGAAGGCAAACCTCCAATGTGAACCAGTACAAAATCAGGAATTACAATGCTACTATGATTTCATACACTTCATATTTTAATGAGACTACTAATGAAATAAAGGGTTAATCTGCACAGAACAGAATGACAGATCTAAAAGCACTTCAAAATCTAACCCCTTCAAACTGTGGAAGTCCCTAATAACCTACTAGCACTTGATTCTTCACGAGTCCACACAACCAGTTCTAATTTTAGAAAATACTAAGCTTACAAAACAAGGTTTAATTTCTACTTCACTGGTTATAGAAGATGAGTTTCATCCAGAAGCTTTAGGTAGGGTAGGTAAATTCATCAAATGAGGTTTAAAGATAATAGATGCAAATATCTAAATACAAATGACAGAGACTGAGTAACAGTCAGGAAATTAGGGTGAAGAGAATCAAGGGAATGATAAATCCTTGAATAAATATCTTCCACTAAGAGTATCAAATTTTATGGAATATGAGGGTTTGTGTCATCATTTTTAAAATTAATGTGACAGAAGTTAAGTGTTTCCATTAATACTACTCAGTGATAATTTGCTGGCTTTTTCTGTATTATCATATATTTGGAATGAGTTTCCTTAAAGAAAAAAATTAAATTTCCTCCCTGCAAAGAGAAATCCAAAGGATTCTCCAACAGTGACAGCGTCCTAATGACTTATATATCCATGCAGCAGGCCACTCACCGGTAACATTACAAAGGTAACACTGTCAAACACCAACACAGGTCTATGCTATGGAACTTGGTTTCAGAGATCTTTCAGACTTTAATTATTGTGATTGATTAAATAATATTATTGATTAAAGTAATATAGTCATAAGTTACAGTGTAGCACTCTGCAGACCATGGCAAAAATCAGAAATCACTCACAAACTGACACATCCTGTCCTTGGTTCAAGTGAAAAATGCTGGTTACACAGTGATGCTACTTCTCTTTCTGTGCCTAATGTAGCATGAGTCAACCCAAAGCATCTGCATGACACTTATATGAGCATCTAACTCTTATGGAGTCTGAGAGAAAAAAAATTACTCAAAACTCAAAGATTAGGACATTTTGAACATGAACTATCAGCAAAATATTTGGTAGAAAAGACTGAAGATGCTTTGAAAGAGGAAATCAAGTTCTATCTAAAAATCTGCAGAGTTTTATGCAGGTTACATTAGGCTAATCATCTATTTTCAAGGCATTCTCCTAAATTTATTTTTGTGATAAAAGCATCATTTTAAATTACTTTTTTCTTACCTCAAAGTGGATTCAAAATGATTTTTACAAATGAACTCACCTTCCCTGATATATGTCTTTGACAGGTACCTGTGAAAAATGGGACACAACAAAATAATATACAAGTCCCCAGCATTACCAAGTCAAAACACTTACCACGTTATACAGACCAATGCACCATCGCTCAAATAAGATCTGCCCAGAAAATCCATTAACGAAAGCAAACCAAAGCTGAAAAAGAGACAAGTTACAAAAAGCTTTAGATTACTACTGGAGTACATGTTTCCATTTACAGTAGAGAAGGATGTGGAATACAGACCACCATCTGGAGACAGCTGCTTGTCATGCTCTAAAAACAATTATCAGGAGTGCAAAGCAGTTACTCTCAAGTCTTACATTTTAAATACTGAGTGAGTACTTCTTGTTTCAAATAAAATACTCAGGTGATGGAGCAATTTGCTTTACTTGCATCACTACACTAAAAAAATAGATGGCCTCAAACTATTTCAAAATCCTTAACACTGGTAAATTAACATGCTTGAAGCCAGAAACCAATCTCATTTCCATTGTGGTCAGCAAAGACTAGAATTTTCAAGGTGTGTTTTGATGGATGCGCTGCTTGTGTCCTATTTTTACAGTCCCAGAACTGCAGTGATATCTGCTTGTCGGTCACATTATCATGATTATATGACAATTTTATTGTCTAAATAACGCAAACATAATTATTTAATAAACCACCAACTTAACAATCAAAATTGGAAGAAATTGCACAAAGAGGCTGGGGAGTCTCTATCCTTTTACAAGTTTACAGAACTTGCCCAATTGGGCAAGCCCTGAGCAATCTGGTTTGCATTTAATGTTCACCCTACATTAAACAAGAGGTTGGACTATATGGACTCCAAGTTGCCTTCAAACAGATTCTGTAATGCCACGATCCCAGGAAACAGCTGTAAGCTTCAGTGCACAGGTAAACTTTTCTGAGTGCTTCCTTGGACCCAACTTCCTTGAGCCTACTAATCTTGCTTAAGCACCTTTTTTAAGCACGAACTGCTTTACTGGGTTGGAACAAAGTTTCTCAGTCAGTGGGCATTGAAAGAAGCTTAGGAAAGAATACAATAAGAAGGGAAAAAAATTATCTTTTTGCAAGTAAATTGGGAACTGGAAGAATAATAGCAGCATATCCTGTGACACATTTCATAGAATCATAGAATCATAGAATCAGCTGGGTTGGAAGGGACCTCCGAGATCATCAAGTCCAACCCTTGATCCACTACCACTGCGGTTACTAGACCATGGCACTAAATGCCACATCCAGTCTCTTCTTAAAAACCTCCAGGGACAGAGAATCCACTACTTCCCTGGGCAGCCCATTCCAATGTCTGACCACCCTCTCTGTAAAGAAATTCTTTCTAATATCTAACCTAAACCTCCCCTGGCACGACTTGAGACCATGCCCTCTTGTCTTGCTGATGGTTGCCTGGGAGAAGAGACCAACCCCCACCTGGCTACAACCTCCTTTCAGGGACTTGTAGAGAGTGATGAGGTCTCCCCTGAGCCTCCTCTTCTCCAGGTTGAACAGCCCCAGTTCCCTCAGCCTCTCCTCATAGGACTTGTGCTCGAGTCCCTTCACCAGCCTTGTTGCTCTTCTCTGGACCTGCTCCAGCACCTCAATATCCTTCCTGAACTGAGGGGCCCAGAACTGGACACAGTACTCCAGGTGTGGCCTAACAAGCACTGAGTACAGGGGAAGAATCACTTCCCTGGACCTGCTGGCCACACTGTTCCTGATACAGGCCAGGATGCCATTGGTCTTCTTGGCCACCTGGGCACACTGCTGGCTCACGTTCAGCTTCCTGTCAATCCAAACTCCCAGGTCCCTTTCTGCCTGGCTGCTCTCCAGTCACTCTGTCCCCAGCCTATAGTGCTGCATGGGGTTCTTGTGGCCGAAGTGCAGGACCCAGCACTTGGCCTTGTTGAACCTCATCCCGTTGGAATCAGCCCAACTCTCCAACCTATCCAGGTCCCTCTGCAGAGCCCTCCTGCCTTCCAGCTGATTGACACTCCCCCCCAACTTAGTGTCATCTGCAAATTTGCTGATGATGGACTCAATCCCCTCATCTAGATCATCAATAAAGATATTAAACAGAATTGGGCCCAATACTGATCCCTGGGGGACACCCCTAGTGACCAGCCGCCAACTGGATGCAGCACTGTTCCCCACCACTCTCTGGGCCTGGCCCTCCAACCAGTTCCTGACCCAGCATAGGGTGCCTCTGTCCAAGCCGTGGGCTGCCAGCTTTTTCAGGAGTATGTTGTGGGAGACGGCATCAAAGGCCTTGCTGAAGTCCAGGTAGACACATCCACAGCCTTCCCCTCATCCACCAGGCGGGTCACCTGATCATAAAAGGAGATCAGGTTGGTCAGACAGGACCTGCCCTTCCTAAACCCGTGCTGGCTGGTTCTGATCCCTTGTCCATCCTGTAGGTGCTGTGTGATTGCACTGAGGATGATCTGCTCCATAACCTTGCCAGGCACTGAGGTCAGGCTGACGGGCCTGTAGTTTCCTGGGTCCTCCTTCCGGCCCTTTTTGTGGATTGGCGTGACATTCACCAACTTCCAATCATCTGGGACCTCCCCAGTGAGCCAGGACTGTTGATAGATGATGGAGAGAGGCTTGGCAAGCTCTTCTGCCAGCTCCCTCATCACTCTAGGATGGATCCCATCTGGTCCCATAGACTTGTGGGGATCCAAGCAGCTCAGTAGGTCACTAACTGTTTCCTTCTGGATTACAAGGGGGCTGTTCAGATTCTTGTCTCTTTCTACAAGCTCCAGAAGCCAGTTGTCCTCAGGACAACCTGTCTTACTGTTGAAAACTGAGACAAAGAAGGTGTTAAATACTTCAGCCTTTTCCTCATCTTTGATAACTATATTCCTGCCCATATCCGGTAAAGAATGGAGGTTTTCCTTGCCCCTCCTTTTGCTATTGATGTATCTGTAGAAGGACTTTTTGTTATCCTTCACAGAGGTGGCGAGATTCAGTTCAAGTTGTGCCATCGTCCCTCTAATTTTCTTTCTACATGACCTAACTATATTCCTAAACTGTTCCTGAGTAGCCAGCCTTTTTTTCCATAATTGGTAGGCTCTCTTCTTTACCCTAATTTCTTTCAAAATCTCCCTGTTCAGTCAGATCGGTCGTCTTCCTCGCCGGCTCGCCTTTTGGTACACTGGGACAGCCTGCTCCTGTGCTTTCAAAACTTGCTTCTTGAAGTACATCCATCCCTCCTGGACCCCTTTGTTTTCAAGGGCTGTTTCCCAGGGTACACTTTGAACCAATCTTCTGAATAGACCGAAATCTGCCCTCTGGAAGTCCAATGTAGAGGTTTTATTGATGGCCCTCCTTGCATCCCTGAGTATTGAAAACTCTATTATTTCATGATCACTGTGCCCCAGACGTCCACTGAGCACCACATCTCCCACCAGCCCCTCTCTGTGAACAGGAGGTCTAGCGGGGCTCCATCCCTGGTAGGCTCATTTACCAGCTGGAGCAGGAAATTATCCTCTGTACACTCTAGGAATCTCCTAGACTGCCTCTTCTCCGCTCTGTGGAGTTCCCAGCAGACATCCGGCAGGTTAAAGTCACAAGTTCACATCGCATGGGATGCACTAAGTATTACAGAGCAGTGAAGTGACAACCACACTTATTCCCTTCTCGCTCCCTGAGAGCCCATGACACTTACTGCCAGGTATCTTTTCTGTCACCATTCTGTCGTTCATATGGCAGCACTCTCCTACCAGCATTGTTTGTTCTCTGGCTCACTTGTGCAGTACTAGTGTCCTAGGAAAACACCTCAGATAGCATTTACTTAACTGTACGTTATCTGACCTTTTCTCTACTCCCACCCAAAGTGGATATAGAATAATTAGGAAAGAAGACAAGAGAAGAAAATGAGACTGCATCAAGACCTACCACTGTTTTCATAGATGCAATATCTAAACAGACTAGGACTCTTTAGCATGGGACAGAGGCAACTTAATTGAAGATTAAAATATTTACAACACTGGTAAGAATAACAAATAGTTGTCCAAACAGGCACTGCTGCAAGACATGAAATTAGCAGGCTACACAAAAGGAAAAAGTGAAACGTTTTCACACGATACATGGTTGATCTATGGAAATGCCTGCTAAATGATGCTGTGGATGCAAAAGGCAATTAGAAAAATATCACAGAAGGAAAGCTGGACACCAGATGAGTATGCCAGAGAACTATCACTGTTCACAAATCAGAGACCGGGTTAATTGAGGTCTTATTCTGACCCTCTACAGCTGTTCTTACAGCTATTATATTGCCATTCTTTTTTAAAATTAATCAGTTCTAATGCACTCTCAGTGTTCAAGTAAGAAGCAATTACACTGATCCCAACTCATCTGTTTATAGCTATGCCTTGCACAGTCGGTCAGCTATTTTAACTTATTTCCTACAATTTTTTAAACCTTCATCCGCTCTTTCTAGTAGGGAGTTCCTATTTATTTCACAATATAGTATTCTGAAGTTTGCACTTCTCCATACCTGCAGTTTGTAGTTTACAGTGCCCTTGTAAGCATTCTTAAGGGTCACCAGCTTCACTCCATTACCACTTAGTTGAAATGCACCAGCCTAGTATATACTAGCAAAATATTTCTTAGGTTTCCTAAAAACAGTGCCTCTTTCTTTCACGTTGTCAAGTACGCATTAAATTAAATAAGCATTTAAGCATTCACCTCATTAGCGCTGTCCAGAAAAAGGACAGAAGACACACTCTACACCCCAACTTTTTATCATCACTTCTACTGTATTGAAACCTTGAACGAATACTCTCTTAATCTTCCTCTAAGGATGCAATTCATGGCCCAAAGTAGCACATTGACCAGTGCACTCTCGCCCTTGCAGTGTTTCAGTCAGTTGTATAAATCAGCTCTTCAAATGAAACATATGAAAGATCTTTGGTAGAAAGCCTGAGGTCCCAAAAAGAAACCACAATTAATTTGGGGCTGTCAAGTTAGGAACTGGAGGGTTTCTTCTAGGAAGAATCAGAGCTTTAAAAAAGTATACTCCCAGATATTTAGCAATAATGACCTAGGCATTTATCATCTCCAGGCTCCTTGCAATTAATTGCAACGATGAACGAGGGTAGCAATTTCTAGAAACCATAAATAGCTCACAAATCAGAAGCCTGTCTGGCTTAGTCGGCAACCTCAG